AGCCTTAGAAAGTGGAGAGCAGAAGGACCCAGGGAAGAGGTGGCTATGGGGAGGAAGTGGGAGGAGAGCTGTTGCATTGTGGGAAATCACAGTCAGTGTCAGGAGACAGTGTGTGTGAACTGCTGTGTGGAAGATGAATTTGCTCTGTAAGCTTTCACCGAAAGTACCATAACGTTAAAAATGAAAAGAAAAAGAAAGTGGAGAACAGATAGAAACCCAGAGGCAGGCCTGAGTTAAAAAGGAAAAGGATGACCCTTATAATGAAATCATCTGGTTTGTAAATCTGTATCAGTAGCCAACCTGAACCTGAATGTGACTGTATGATCGGTGACACAAATACCAATGTCAGAAAGCCCAAAGTGATGGGAGCAGGGGTGGCTTATTTCCAGAACTTGTTTAAAAAGGCAGTTTGGAGAAAAAGATGGGGTTCGGTGCAGAGTTTGAGTGCAGGTGCACACAAAACAAAAAGCTTGTTTCTGACTCATAGAGATCGCTCCTTGATTTCCGAGGCAGTGTCTCTATAGAAGTAGATTGTTCCTTCTTCCTTCCAAGGGTGGCTGGTGGGTTTGAACCTTCAGTCTTCTGGTTAGCAGTCAAATGCCTTAGACACACCACCACCAGAGCTACAAAGGTGCACATGCTATTAGGTTATTTGGGATGCATGCATGAGTTCACCTCTGCTAGGCAACTTGGGGCTCAATCCCATTGGGAAGTTAGATGGTGATGGCCCCATTCCCCATTGGGTGTCCAAGGCTGTAAATCTTTACAGAAGTAGATTTCCCCATCTATCTCCCCCAGGAGCAGCTGGTGGGTTTGAACGGCTGACTTAATTAGCAGCCAACTGCCTCACCTATTATGCCACCAGAGCTCCTTTTGGTGCCATACAACTACATTACAAATATGAAAAATGAGCATCTAGCCAACTCCTGGCTCAGTATGAATCCACTGATATAGACGTTTTCCCCAGTAAACAACCTTGTGTATAATAACTCTTTACACAGGTTCATGTGTGGGACTGAGGGTTCAATTCCCACGAGTGAAAATGTTAAGACTACCCTACACTTCCTGCCCAGAGGGCCGCGCCTGGTGGTCTACCCCGGCAGTGCTCTGTAGCGCACCCTGCGCAGGCGCACGGAGGTCTCGTGTCTCGCGGAATTGAGGCCGCGGAGGTGGAAGTGAGTCGACGGCTCTGGCTCTGATACTGCCCCAGTCAGGGAGGGAGTACTAGTGGGAAACCATGGGCCGGCGCCTGCCTGCTTATCCCACAGGGAACGGTTGTTAGTTGTCAGTTGCTTCCAGCTCACAGCGACCCGGCGTGTGCAGAGTAGAACTGTGCTCCATCGAATTTTCTCCAGACCCGTCTAAGGAGGCGGGAGTCTGAGTAGGTCGAACCACCAAGATTTCTGGTTGTAATCAAGCGATTAACCAGCACTTAACCGTTTACACCAGGCTACCGGCATTTCAGCAATAAGGTACTATTTATTTCTTAATGAATGCATTTTGTATCTGAGTATCTGTGGAATGATATGTGTATTTGGGAGCTCCGGTGGGGTAGTGCCTAAGCCATTTGACTGCTAACTAGCCACTTCTCGGAAGGAAGATTGGGCAATCTATTTCCGTAGTGACACTGTGGAAACCCCAGAAAGGGTCGCTGTGAGTTGGATCCGATTGGAGGGCAGTGAGTTTTTTGTTTTTTCTTTTTTTAAATTTTATTTTGATTTGGGTGAAGAT